TACCATCCCCCTCACTGTCTATATTCCAGCCCCACTGGCCTCCTTGCTGTTCCTGGATTATCCAAAGCAATCCTAAAAAATAAAAAATAAAATGTAAAAAAAAAATTAAAAGAGAAAAGTAAAAAGAAAAAAGTGATAGGGACTTTGCACTTGTTTCCTTAGCCTAAACATGCTTCTTCCTGAAATCCACCTGACTTATTCCTTCACCCACTTACATGTCTGTTCCAAAAGTCTGTAACTGAACACCCTAACTAAAATAGCACTACCAGCCTTCCTGACTCTTAGTCCCTTACCTTTCTTTATTTTTTTACATAGTACTTATCACTGTCTAACACATTATTGATTTGTTTTTTGTTTGTTTATTGGAGGTCTCTACTGATAGAATACAGTCTCTATAAGAACAGGGACCTTTTCTATTTTGCTCTATGCTGTAGCTCCAGAAACTAGTAAAGAATCTAGCACATGGAAGGTATTTAATAAACACTTGATTATTAGCCAAAATAACAGTGTTATCTTCCACAAATGAGTAATTTGCTAGTCATAGCAACAAAAATAGTATTTCTAGTCACTCCTTTGTAGATGGTGAGATTGATAATCTGTATTTATTATGGGTTGAGACTAAAGTTTACACTGTGTGAATATGAATTATGTAAAACCTATAATGTTTCATATATTCAAATACAATTTGTGTTCTTCAAAGAAGTCAGCATGCTCAGACTTAATTTAGGTCTCCTCTTTTGCCATGTCCTTGAAAATGAGCTCAGTATTCAGTATGAGTACTTTTATGTTTTTACTTGTTTGCAGGAACCAAAAGCCGTTCATAGATATAAACAGTAATGAGGTGGATGCCACAATTCTTCCAACATATGTTGTCATTATAAATAATAACATTATTACAATTTAGTGTGGTCAACATCTGACTTACAACGAGTTCCCCAAAATGGAAAAATAAACTTTAAATACATTGCACATATTCGGTTTTAATCTTTTCATAAACAATCAGCTAGATGACGCATGAAACATGCCTGGCTAATACAGTGATACAGAAGTAAATAGAGTAGAGAGAGAGTTATCACCTCTTTTTTAGTTCAGTCTTTAACTAAAGCTCTACCTAAGATGACTTGCACTGTGAATAGCAATGTGTTATTTTGTTAGGTAGAAGTTAGACTATGTAGGAGAAGGAGGAGGGGTGGGAGGGGGTCCATAGTGCCTACAGAAGCAGCTCATAACTAGCTTTGATTAACTGCCTCCAGCCACGTATCTGTTTCTACAACAACAGATGACAAGAGGTGAACTGGAGCAAGATAAGGATCTGAGTCAACAGACTCCACCCATCTTAGGAGGTCATGCCCTCCCATGGAAGACCATGTACCAACTTTTCCCACCAATTCAATATGTAACTCCTTCACCCCACCCAGCAAACTATAAGTCCTCAGGACAAGGGCTCTCTCTCTCTCTGGCCTTCGAGCTCTCTGGCCCTCGCTCTCTCCCCCTTTCTCTCTCCCTCTCCCTCTCCCTCTCCTTCTCCCTCTCTCTCCTCCCCCACCTTGGCTAGGCCCTTCTCAGGGAAGAGAGCTTATCACAAATATCACTAATACCGGATGCTGGCCCCTCTCTCCTATCTTGTCTAGGCCCGTTCTCTTCCCTGAGGATGTATATCTAATAAACCCTGCTTGCTGACCTTTGATTCTTCAGTGTTAGCAAGAAGAACTGAGACTCCCGTAATAATTTGATCAAGGCAAATCCATGATATTATATGGCCTTGCTTTCCTACTTTTAAACTTTTAGGTTAACCTTATGTTCTGTTTGTGGTAAGACTTGACAATAGACAATATGGCCATTGATACCCAAGATTTAAGGGAAACCTCTTATGTGATACATACAGTGAGCCCTTTGTTGCATGTTTATCCAGTTATTGTCAATCCACTAATTATTTCATGGAACAATGACAAAAACGTTTAAATTAAATACATGTGGATATTAGGTTAATAATGCTTTTGTAGTACAACTCAGATCTCTCTACAGTAAGCTGCTATTTAGACCACTAAAAAATAATCAATGGTGTAACATTTCGCTGACATTATTCAATAGTAATGATATCTATAAAGAAAATAAGACATTTTGGAGAGTTAGAATGACAATTAAGCCAATATACAATTTGTGACCATATATTGGGTTGTCAGAAAAGCCATGATGCATTTTTGCAATGAAAAACATAGAAAAAATATGTCATGACTTTTCCAACAACCCGATATTTCAAATTGGAAAGCATGGCTGATTCTAGAAGAGCAACAAAATATTAATTCAATTCAAAGAGAAGTCTACTTGGGTAATTCACTTCACCCTTCTCTACTAGCCTCATTTCACGGAAAAACCTGAATTGTTTTTAAGAGGTTTGAAGTGTCTTCTAAACTTTCATGAGCCTTTCACACACTTAGCAGATGCAACTAGAAGCCTGGGCAAAATAAAAAACAAGACAACAAATACAAGAAACTTTAGTGTCTCCTTTTCCTGTTCTATATAGCTGTTTCATCTGCTCTTCGGACACTCCACAGTTGGGTGTAGTTAATTAGCCTTCGAAAAGTCATGCACTGGGGGGGGGGGGGGGGCTCTTAAACCTGTTCCTTAAACTTGCCCACGCAGAACATATTTCATATTTCAGGGAAGAAAAAGTCACTGTAAAATATCTCTAAGCCAGTATGAAAAAGTAAACCTCTGATATTCAAATTCTTAAGCATCTCTTTGGTATTTTCAATACCTACTGTTCTTAATATGGAGTTTTCATCAATTTTTCCAAAATAAAAACCAGTGATCCTTGATCTCAGGAATAATGTTCCCATGTTTCCTTTATAATTATAATTCCATTGTTTTAAAACAGCTAAACCGTCTTTTTGTTTGTTTCTTTGCTTGTTTTTTAACTCAGCTGCCAGACAGTGATAGAATTATTTAGGTGTTCTCTGCATGAATGGCTGACTTTTTTTTTTTTCTTTTCCAAATCAACAAACATTTGAAGTCAACAACCAACAAGGTTCATTGGTTGAAAAGCATCTGATTGGAACTTATCTGTGAGCAGAATGATCTTGCTTCTCCCTCAATGGCATAGTACATAAAATAGGAGGATATAATTAGAACTATTAGGTGTTCCTAATAGAGAAGATTAAAATCAATGATAAGTTATTTTAATGAATTACTGACAATAGAAAATAACTTGATGAAGAAGCTCAGTAATAATCGCTCGTAATAAACCATCATGAAGTTTCTGCTTACTCTGATGAATTAAATTATATCTTCATTGTGCTTATAGATGTAGAATTCTGTCAATTAGATTTCATTACTGAAGTTAATTCTTACTATATTGAGATTCTTACTAGAGAAGAGCTTCATTCATTCTTTACTTGTCAAACGGTGCAAAACAATTGTTATTATATAAACTAGTTATCATGAGAATTACTATTTCCATACCACATCAGTGTTTTTCTAACAATGAACTACCATGTCTCTTTTGAATACTATCACATGAACAATATCTATTTAAGCCTGATTTTTCATGATTCCAATAGGTCATTACTGCTCAAAGATCTTTTGATTAATTTTATTGTTTGCCCATGAGATCCTACACTGCATATTTTGTTTCCCTTTTCTTCATGTCTCCAATTCCAAGCTGGATGCCTTTCCTAAACACAAAGTATTTTATACTTTTACTTTTCAACTGTATGATACAGCTCTTTCAATGGTCCTTCTTCCTAAAATATTTCTTTCTTATTATACAATATCTTGTCCTTTCCTGATTTTAACAGGAATTAGTTCCTCCTTTCCAATGTTAACTTCTCAACCTGTGTTTACAGATCCACTTTTTCTATTCCCCAGTTTCCATCTCCACTCCTCCACCAACTCCTCTTCTCTGCCTTCTGGCACCAATAAGTCATCCCTTGATTCTAATCAATCCAACTAGCAAGTTATTAATACTACTTTCATTATGATGTTGCAAATCCTTTAAAAGTTCCATAGCATTTTGAAGTTATTCTGTTGTCTTGTCAAGTCATTAAAGATCTTCACCAAGCTGACCCTAAATGGCTTTTCTATACAACTCCCTAGAATAATATCTTTGTTTCTGCTAGGCTGATTGACTCACCCTTCTTAAACATGGTTTAATCATTCCCTGCTCATTTGCCTTATTTTCAAGTTTCAGCTCAAATTCCATCTTCTCTGTGAAGTTTCTCTTATAGCCCTAGACTACATTGATTGTGCCTTTTACTGATTCCCTGTACTTTTCACAAACAAAATCCTAGTTTAGCACTCAATTAAAAATTACTTTTACTTACATTTGCATTCATGTTTATTCTTGCATCTTTTCCTCTGAGTAATCAACCTAAATGACCCAACAACAAGCTAACATTTACTGAACACTCACTTGTCCGTCACTCTGCTGGGTCAAGGCAATGTAAGAATGAATAATGTTTCTTTTATTTACTCACAACTCTTAAGACATCCTCTCAGATAATAAAAAAGTATTTATTGAATAAATAAGTAAAATATTATCACCAATAGACCTGCTATTAAAAATGACCACTATTCCAAACATGTTGTGGCGTTAATAACACCACACGAAAAATCATGCAAGAACTGGAAGATGTTTGTGATATCAATCCCAAGTGCAAATTATTTTGAAATTTTAAAATCATGTTTTCTAAAAAACACATATTAGTGTTCCCACTATTGCCAGTACCTCTGACAAGTAGGCAGAAACCTTTGATTTACAAACACAGTGAATATATGATTAATAATTACTAATATGCAAGATATTCTAATTCTTAAAATGCATCTTGTAAGAAGACAACATAAATGTCAAAACTGTACAAGTGAAGAAAGAAAACAAACAAGTTTGAGAACATATACACATTTATACACATGCTGGTAATTCCGCTACTTAAACACAATCAAATTATTGCATGACCCATTATTTTCAAAGCACGAATCTTAAAACTCTATGTTCTACATACCTGTCCAGTCTCCTACTATTTTAAGGTGGACCCCAAATGTTGCTTTGGTTTCAGTAGGACACTAAAAAAATAAATACTAGAATCAATTCTGAATAATAATTATGTATTTCCAGGTATGCTTGAATTACAACTTCTATTCTCATAGCAAATCTCCAAAATCAACAGAAAATAAGAAGGAATGGACTATAAATGTATATAGATCTTCATTAGTAGAAGAAGAAAAGCAATCACAACCAGTCAATATGACAATATACATTTCTCTATAGTATACCCATAATACCCATAAGTATTTATATAAAACAATATAATATACATAGTGTAAAACTGCTAGTATTTTACATCAAACTACAAATCTTGCTGAAATATCTTTTGAGTTAAAATATTTAAGAGGACACAGCTTTGAACCACAAAGGAAAAAATGGAGACTGGTAATTTTAGTGTCTTTTTCTTTCCAGATATTATTGTATACCTCATATCCTAACAAATTCCAGGAAAAATAAAAATATAATTTAAATATTATTTACACTATTAAAATACAGTAAAGCCTTGGGTTGCGAGTAACTTGGTTTGCGAGTATTCCGCAAGATAAGCAAACATTTCTATTAGGTTGGTGCAAAAGTAATAGTGATTTTTGCCATTACTTGTAATGGTAAAAACTGCAATTACTTTTGCACCAACCTAATAATACATTTTAACTTGGTAAACGAGTGATGTCTTGCAATACGAGTAGCTTGTTTCCGGAACGAATTATGCTCACAGACCAAGTTATTACTGTAGTTCATTTATAATTATGACTAACATTTAATTATTTCATTTAAATTCTGGTCTTTTAATAACTCTGACATTAATCAGGTTTGTCACTAGTAAATCTCCAAATAAGATTGTGTGATCTGTAAAAAACACCCGCCATTTTTACTTCATACTACTTAAGGCTGGCCAGAGCCTCTATTCAGTAAAAGTTGAAGTTTGCAGAAAGCAAGTATCTCAACAGCATTCCAAGCTGCCAATCTGATTGTCCACATGTTGCTGATGTTTACCTTATTGTGTTAGGTTATGAAAAGATCTAAGCCAAGAAGATATCAGAATAGGGAGCAAAAAGATTTGTCTTTGTGTTACTGAGTGTGCATCTGGCTTGACTAAACTCATAATGTATTCTGAAGGAAAACATACATTTTTGCCAAGTACTCATATCTCTCTGTATTTTTTCAGTGCAGCTATTATAAAAGGTAATTACATATGATGTTTAACATCATCTCTGGTCTTATATGAGACTATAAACCTTCCTCTTTAAGAGCTGGCCAAATGCATCAGTATAGCTTTTAAGGCTGATCTGGTTTTGAATAGATAAAACACAATATTGTTTCTCTCATACTCTTGGGAATGATGGCTTTATAAGTTATTGATACTTCCTCAAACTAGCTAGGAATTAGATTTTTACATAGTCTTTGCCCAATCATATCACCACAAATTTGAAGAGGGCCTACACAGAACAAAACACAAATGGCTTCAGCATGTGTGGTTCGAAACAGTGACTGAAGATCTTAGAATCACACTTTCGTGACTCTGTACAAATAATGGTCAGATTCGCTAATGTTGCTTAAAGTACGGTGTAGTGGTTCTTTAATGTTATTTTCACTATCTTTTTAAGAGTGTTTAGAAAACTTCTCAAAGGAAGAAATAGTAAAGTATTGATATCTATGGCTATCTTGTTTTTTCTAGAACATTAATAAAGAAATATGCTTATGACAATTTTTCAGTTAAAAAAGCTGCAAAATAATGTGTAGTTAAATTCCCATTATTAAAATAAAAACAGATATTGGTGTTTTTTTCTATATGTAGAAATATATATATAGAAAGGTTGAAAAGAATATATAATACTCTATTAACTTCTGATAAGTAAAACTGAAGACAGAGAAAATGAGAAATTTCATATACATCAATTTTTAAAAATTTATTATTAGCCTTTGTAATGTTTATAATTTAAGACATTTTAAAAGTAAACATTAAACCATTGCTGAGGGCCTGCTGAGTGGCGTGTTGGTTAAGAGCTGGCTTGGGATGCCAGAGGGCCCTGGTTCAGATCCCACATATTAGGGCCAGTGACACTGCCCTCCACAGCTAAGATGCTGAACAACAGCTCAACCTGAAGCTGGGCTGCTGTGAGTCACCGGCAACAGCGTGGGCTGCAGTCCCTGCTGCAGTGGGTTGCCATGGGCTACCGTGTGTAGCCAGCAGCCAGCGTGAGCGGCCAGCAGCTGCAGTGAGCGGCTGTCCAGAAGCCAGCGACTGATCTGCCTCGCCCAGGAAGAGTGCAATGATGGTGCCAACATGGGCCAGTGAAGCAACGTCCTCCACAACTAGACTGAAGAACAAAAGGACAGCAACTTGTCTGTTCTCCTTCCCCCAATTCCCCAATAAAAATCTTTAAAAAACAAAACAAAACATTGCTGAGTCTTTCTTTAGCCTCACTTAAATTTCCTAGATGAAGGAAATGGAGTTTGGCTCATGTTGACCTTAATATAAGTACCAGAATACATATCACCAGTTTAATGAAAATAACTTTTTCCTTCAAACCATTTGCTCATTATGGTTTTGGTTTTTTAATGTGCTCAAAAGACTAATACTTTTATAACAGTCTGACAAAAATATAAACAGATATTATGTAATCATCTTACATTTGGGAGCTAAATGTAAAAATGATGTCACTGCACAAGGATTTATTCAACATGGAAAAGAAATTTAAAAGCCACGATGTGTTTGTTTTTAAATTTATTAAACCAGAGATAATGATCACAGAACATAATGTTCTTTAACCATTATTGTCAGATCTTTAAACTCTTCCAAAGCTCTAGTTTCACATTTTCTATTCCTGCAAGACATTGCCACCTGAAATTAACTCTAAATGTAATATATTTAAAATATCTGTTATCTTTCTTCCCGAGTTATCTTTCCCTTCTCATTCCCATATGTCTGGACATAGACCTTCCACGTCCTTATCAGAACAGAGGCTCAAGTCTCAGAGTAATATCGGGTATTTCTCTTCCTGCCAGCATTTAATCAACTTTCAAGTCCTTTCAAATAGTCTTAACAAAGAAAGTGTCTGATCACAGCAATACCCTATTGATTCACCTTTTGAGTCTCCATAGGCAAAAACACCCACAATCTTTTTTTTTTCCCATAGCCTATGGCCAATCACATCTGTTCCAAACTCTTTCCAACTTTATATTCCATGTTCCTCCTCGATTCACTCTAATCCAGTTAAACCAACATGGATCAACTAACACATTTTCCAGTCCTTTCATTTCCCCACTTACCAGTTTACTCATTTAGAATGACTTAATTCCCATTTCTTATATTGAACCCTAGAATTCTTTAAGGCCTTTCAAATGCCACCACTTTCATGAAGAAATCCTTATTTTCTCTGTCATGAAAATTCCTCACTTCTCTAAATACCCAAATTATTTGAGTTTTATGCCCTTTATTATAGTCTACCTCTTTAATTTTGTGTAATTTATTCATACATTCAATAAATATGGATTGAGTACCCAAAATGTTCAACAGACAATACTAGGAGCTCCTGTAATTTCACAAATGAAGATTGTTCTAAAAGTAAGAGAAGAGATAATGAGCCAAAAGCATAGAATCCATCATAATTAATGTAGTATCATGACTCTAAATATTTTGACAAATATAATATTTTAATGTTTACTTGTTTATTTGATGGAAAAAAACAGTGCTTAGTTGTATATTTGCACGATGACAATATACTCAGTATTAAACAGGAAGATCCTGGAGGAGTATGTAAATGGATTTTTACTAACTTTGATGAAATGTGTGAATTTATCTCAACTCCCTCAAAAAATCAAAGTACTCAAATGACAGTTTAAAGAAATAAAAATACAAACCACAGTAACAAAGGTGACATGGGGAGTGCTAAAAACAATAGAGAGGTATCAACAAATTTTGAAAGGTGAAATGTGGATGAGACAGTGGTTTGAAAACTGACTGAAAAAAAACATACAAAGCTGAAATCCATTATGTTAAAAAAAAGGATCACCTTGAGAAGCAAGCCCATCGTTGTCTCACAGCATTGGTAAATCTTAGGTCTCAGGGATAATAGAAGAGAGCTGGGGTTGGGCTCATGATTAAAAAAAAAAAGAACTGTTCATATCTGTATATGGGATAATTTGACCCCTAGATTCACCCCACTCCAATCTCAAGCCAGGCAACTAACTACTCCACAAACCCAAAGACAAGTAGTGGTGAGACCAAAAGGGCTTCAGATGCAGCAAAAACTGGTACAGTGGAAAGTAGGGCTGACATGTCATTCATTTCCTCGGCAAACATTTTTAAAAAGCACATTAAGTGCCATCTAAAATTTACCTACCCAAAACAGCTCTACAGATCTCATCAGAACTTGCTCTCCCCAGAGCCTTCCCTATCTCAGTTAATGCAGCTCCAGTTGATCAGACCAAAATCTTTGACAATAAGCTTGACTCTTCCATTTCTTTCACATTCCATACCCGGTGTATAAAGAAATCCTGTTAACTCTAACTTTAAAATATGTTAAGAATCTGATACCTCTCACCAGCTCCACTGTCACCACCCAAGCCATCATCACACCTCAACTGCATGCCCATAACAGCCCCCTAACCGGTCTCCCTGCTTCTGCCCCTGCTTGCTTCCCTTCATCTGATCTTAACATAGCAGCCAGAATGACCTTGCTAAAAGGTAAGCTAGATCATGTCATTCCTCTATCCAGAACCTTCCAGTGGCTCCCTCCTGACTTAAAGTAAAAGCCAAAGCCCTGGCAATGTCCTCTAAACCCCACATAATCTGTGTCCCCAGGACTTCTCTGATATCTCCTACCATTCTTCCTTTTTCATAGTGTATTCTAGCCACCCTGACCTCTGACATCCTCTCTCTCTCTCCCTCCCTCCCTCTCCCTCTCTGTCTCT